CAATGTGAAAAAAGAGGATGGAGCAGCCCAAGAGGGAAGGAGAATTTTGAATTCCCAAACAAACACTTGCTTTTTCCCTTTTTAGAAATCGATAGGGAAGAAATCAGTTCACAAAATAAAGGCATTCACCGAACTACATCCAGCTTTTCAACAGAGGGAGGTAGCATATTCCAGCTAGGCAATTTGTGCCTCATTTTTTTGAAACTTGATAACTTTTTTGGCAATGTGCGGGCAAAATCATCGTTTCTAGCCAAATTATTCACATTTTTTAATCAATTCAGTACTTGAAAGCTAATTTTAAGCGTTCCTTTTGGTTAAATTGAACAGCAAATACTTGATTTTCATACGTTTCATCATGCCTGAATGATTTTATCATCTCTTCAATAAAAATACTGTGGGCACCGATTTCCTGTATCCATTAAGACAAGCCCATAGGATTATTAATAACACTTACATTTTCCACATGTGCAAAACATCAAAGGTAGCTTACTTCGCAATACTTCGCTTAATCTTCTGGTTTTGCCCATAATTTGTTTGAATCCTTCGCTCATTCTCTTTTTGCACGAGCCGTCGCTGCAAAAAAGAATAAAAAATACAAGGGATTACCAGTTAATTTAGTCTCCTGTCAGCTTATGTATACACCACTTAAATTTACCAGAATATGCAACTCAGGATCAAAAGGCCTGGCAAAAATGTGCCCGAATATGGGAGCATTCTTGTAATATCACTAACACGGAATACCCACGCTGATGCCAGAGCAGCCCAGGTTTACGTAGTATACATATTACATGGCTCAAATAAAACGCTTAACATAAGCCTAGAAAAGTACCATACAGTCAAAATTTTTTTCGAAAAGAAAGGAGGTCAATGGGAAAATACATACTCACACACACACACGTGCACACACAGACAACCCTACGACAATATGCGCTTTGTGCAGCTGTTGCAGAACAAATAAATGGCCAACGCACGGTCTGCCCGTGCGAAGATGCGTTTTTTGCAGAGTTCCCTGCAGTTTCTGTCGCTACCGGCATCGGTCT